TGGATGATGATCTTGATTGTTCAATATTTTCGTTAGTTCATAACTCTAAAAAAGAATTTTCATTTTACAAAGGTAGCAAGACATTAAAAGATGCTATTAATGAAGCTATGAGAGATTGGGTAACAAATGTAAGCGATACACATTACCTTGTTGGTTCGGCGATAGGGCCTCATCCATTTCCTACGCTTGTGAGAGAATTTCAATCTGTAATAGGAAAAGAGGCCAGAAAGCAAATGTTACAGAAAGCTGGTAAATTGCCCGACGTTGTGATTGCCTGTGTTGGAGGTGGCAGTAATGCTATAGGAACATTTTATCCGTTTATAAACGATCAAAATGTTAAATTCATTGGTGTTGAAGCTGGTGGTGATGGTAAATATTATTTTGATAGATTTCAACTTTTGAATTAACGATAAAATTTTTATTAACATTGAGAATATTGATGACAATAATCTTAGGTATAGATACGGAATTTCATTCCGCAACCTTATCTGCGGGTACACCGGGCGTGCTACACGGAACTCGAACATATTTATTACAAGATGATAAGGGTCAGATTAAATCAACACACAGTATTAGTGCCGGTCTAGATTATCCAGGTGTCGGACCAGAACATGCATGGCTAAAAAATATTGGCAGAGCTGAATATTCTGCTGTTACCGATAAGGAAGCTTTAATTGGTTTTAGAAAGTTGTCAGAATTAGAGGGTATAATTCCAGGTATTTATATTATTTTTATACCCTTTATATCTTATTTGTTAATGAACTCTGTGTCCATCTGAGCTTAGCATTTTATTCACATCTATTTATTTGTATAAAAATAGCACTTGAAACAAGTCACGCGATTTATCAAGCACTTATAGTCGCTCCAAAAATGCGTAAGGACCAAGATATCCTAATATGTCTTAGCGGTCGCGGAGATAAAGATGTTCAAACTGTCGCTGAATTTTTACCAAAATATGGACCCTCAATTGGATGGGATTTACGATTTTGAAGAAATTATAATATAATTGACTCAATGTTGTAAACTTCAAAAAATATATAATTTATTTTATTTATTTAAAGTATTTTTTTATCATTTTTTTTTTAAAATAGAAAATCATTTCAATAAAGAAAATAATTTCCAATTTTTAAAAAATATATATATACATATATTGAATATTTCATTCATGTAAAAACTACTTGTTTCTCTCGGGGCGAAGTTTTCGTACTTCTTTACCTGCCATCCACATTTCACTTTCACTATAAATATTATTTCATAAAACATAAACATAATAGCATTCATTAGTCATTATAATTACTTTTTGATTAACTTTATATTTTTCCATATAAAATACCTAAGTTCTTTCAATTCTACTTCTAATTCTTCCCGATAATTAGGTGCAGAGTTCTTTTCTAGTGTACGACGTGTTTCAACTCCATCGGCAACTGAAGAATACAGCTTTTCAAAAACAGGTTTAGCTGCATCACGAAATGGTTTATACCAATCGAGAGCACCCCGTTGTGCTGTTGTCGAACAGTTAGAATACATCCTTAAAATTATAGATTAATTATTATATGTTAAATAACCATAAATAATAAATTTAAAATATTGTAAACACTTTCAGTACCAATCCATTCCATTTTGCCCAATTAATGGGTACAGAGATTGAGTTGCCTCTTCTACAGTTTCATTGAATGCTTCGGAAGGACTATGTCCTCTTGCTCTTAATACTTCAAATTGAGCGAGAAATAATCCTTGGATGGCACCCATAAGCACTCCGCGTTCACCA